GGGTGGCAACAACCCCAGGAAAATATGCTTTAGCCAAATCAGAAGAGATCCCAAATCGTGAGGGGGAGAAAGGGGATAAAAAGGTTCAGAAAGAAAAAAAAAAAAAAAGAAACAATTAGAAAAAGAAAACCAATAAAGAAAAAATATAAAAAGGAAAATATATATATATATATATTAGATAAACTATATATATATATATTATCTATATATATATTAGATAAACTAGTTAAAAAACGTTAAAAAAGAAAAGGGTAAAAGTTAAAAAAATTTAGCAGAAGAAGAGAAAAAAAATTGAAAAAGAAAAAAAAATTAAATTAACTGCAAGGCTAAACAGTCATGGGGAGAAAGCCCTGAGTTCCGTGCTTTGCTTTCTCCTCCTCTGGGATTTTGCTGCTCTCCCTGGTATTGAAACTGCGCTCCTTGGCAGGTGAACTTGGTCCTGGCTGGGTTTCTTGTTGATCTTCTGGGGGAGGGGCCTGTTGTAGTGATTCTCAATGTCTTTGCCCCAGGCAGAGTTGCACTGCCCTTACCAGGGGCCGGGCTGAGTAATCCGCTCGGGTTTGCTTTCGGGAGCTTTTGTTCCCTGAGCGCTTTCCGTAGAGTCCGGAGGATGGGAATGAAGATGGCGGCCTCCCAGTCTCCGGCCCGGAGGAGCCGAGAGCCCGGGGCCCCACTCCTCAGTGCACCCTCAGAGAACAGCGCCCAATTACTCCCATCTCTCTGGCCTCCGGCCACGCTCCGAGCTGACCGAGCCTGCGACCGGTTCAAGGTAACCCCGAGCTGTGAGCTCACTCCTCGGCTCTGTCTCTGTAGCCGGCTTCCCCGTTCTAATACCTGCATGCTCTGCGACACTCAGACACCCCCGATCCTTCTGTGACCCTGCGGGACCTGAGGCCACGCTGACCCCGCGTGGGCTTCACCCCGGTTAAGCCTCTGGAGCGATGTCCCTCAGCGGAACAGACTTTTAAAAGTTCTGATTTTGTGCTCCGTTGCTCCGCCGCTTGCGGGAGCCGGCCCCTCCCCCCATGGTCTATCTTCCCGTCGCTTTGGATTCACTTCTGCGCCAGTCCTACCTTTCAGAAAGTGGTTGATTTTCTGTTTCTAGAATTGTTGTTCTTCTCTTCGATTTCCCGTTGGATTTGTAGGTGTTTGCAATCTTTAGATAAGCTATCTAGCTGATCTCCTGCTACCTGAAGTAGTCTCAGCCTGCTACTTCTCCGCCATCTTGGCTCCTCCCTAAATAAATAAAATCTTTAAAAAATAAAGATTTTTTAAAAATGTATGTACATATAGGAGCGCCTGGCTGACTCAGTCAGTGGAGCATGCGACTCCTGATCTCAGGGTTGCAAAGTTAAGCTGAGTGTAGAGATTACTTAAAAATAAAAAAAGTTAAAAAGTTAAAAATGTACATAGAGTACACTCCTGCTAGCATTCCTCCTTTAAACTATTCCATTCTTCCTTATACCACAGAAAATGTTATTGGTTCTTCCTTCTTCGTAAGGAAGAAGGAACCAAGGATAGAGATCACCAAAGTATAGAGTTTCTTCTTAGGTAGTGTTTTATATTTCATTTTACAAATGCATGCGTGTGTGTGTGTGTGTGTATTTACACATGTGTGCATGTGTAAGAATTGTGTTAGGAAAGTTTTTTTTCTAACCTTCATTAATAACTACCAAGTAATGTTTATTTAAAATCCTAATGATTCAGTAAGTCTTGAAAACGATACATTAAATCACAAGTTGAAGGGAGACTATGGATCATTTGTTCCAGCCACCACATTTACTAGAGAGAGAAGATGACTTAACAGAAAGACCAGTATTTGGCTCAAGGTCATATAGAAGGCTAGTGTAGCATCTGAGATCACTGGAAACACCAGGGCATGTGGAAAATGCCAGGACTCCTGAAATTGGCATGCACTCCTTAAAATGCTCTGAATCATCCCACCCTGCGGCAGCCACACCAGACCCTTCATTTCATAGTTCTGTGAACACTGCAAGAATTCTCTTCCCATTTGCTTAGGATTTCAAAGATGTACTAATCCCTCAAACACATGTTAAAACGGATTTTCTTTGATGAAAAGGGACAGATATATTCTCCAGAATAAGCTCCTCCTTCAGTCCTCTCTGCTCTTTGAGCTTGAGAAAACCTATGAGAGTACCCTCAAGTTCACTTAGGGTCTTTTAGGATAAGGGTTTATGGTGAGTGAAAATAGGGAGTGGGGTGAAAACTGGCCAAGGTGACACTTTTTTGGTGAGACAAAATACTTTCCTCCAGAATCCCTCTCCCTAATTTATACATAACTTCTTTTTTCCCACTTTTTATTGTTCTTTTAAACTCTTGACTTTTTCTGTCTAATTCACTATTCCTTGGCTATGACACTGGCCTGTCCTCGCTCCTCTCCCCACCATCCAATCTTGACCTGCCCTGGGAGAACACACATGCTGAATTCTGAACACCAAAAAGCCACCCACACCCACTGACTAACTCATGAAATGTAGTATTGTGAGCAAGTGAAAGCTTCTCTTAGATTCCCAGATCTCTATTTTCTTAGCCGTGTGACATGGGGACAGATAGACCATAATTTACTTAACCATACTCCGTTTCATGTACACTTAGGATATGTGAAATATTTTGCTGCAATGAGCATCTGTCTATCCAAAATCTGTGCACTGGTATATTTCTTCAGAAGAGGTTCCTAGCAACAGAATTGCTTGGTCAAGGGTATATGTGCTTGAAATTTTGATAGGTGCTGCCAAAGTGTCCATCAAAGCCTTTGAACAAGACAAAGCAGAGATAGGTTTATTCCAGATGACAGTTGCAAATATTATCATAGTGGTAAAAGGCCACACTTTCATGCATGTTTGACTTGGTGAATGAGGTCCAAGGTCACGCCCTCTAACCTTCTACCTTCCCCGTTTCAGATATAAGAGCCTTTTTAACCTGACCTGGCATTTATCTGTTGGAGTCATCAGAGAAAATGCAAACTCAGAGCCAGTAATTTCTTGTCAATCTTTATTTCAAAGGGCTGGATTATATCTCTCAATCCTGTTATAAAAGCTTGTACCACCTAATTGCGTATCTTCAATTATAATGACTTGATCTATCCAGACTTTTCTTTGTGTTTTCGTCTAGATTCCCCCTCAAATGGTTTTACATTTTTATTGCTGTTTCATGTTACACAAACAACACAGTCTCTCTATAAAAATGCAAACACATAGAGAGTAGAACATGAGTCATCCTTCCCAATCTCACTGCACTCTATATCTCTATGTTTCCACACCAAATCTCAGATATTCTTAGTTTCTCAATCCATTCTTTAAGACTGAACTGCTCCATATAATGTTCAGGTTCTTCAAATAAATCCCCAAGAAGTGGCAAAGGCAATGAAATATAGGAACGACAAGAATAAAGAAACATAAACTCCCTAAACAGTTCTCCCTGTGACAACTGTGGGAGTATTTTGATAACTGTTGGCAGGGCGCTGCATGTGATATGGGGAAGGAAACCTTGGCATCCAAACAAGCAAATGGTTTGGCGACAGTTTATTAAATTTCTGCAATGCTTGCAAATGCCAGTAACAATTTCTCAGACTGCAGACTTACTACATGTGACAGGTTTGAGAGTGGTTCACAGTTGCCATCAAATAAATCACTCTTCAAAATTAAAAATCATAGGAACTCTGAATAATTGTCACCACTAAAACAAAAGCTCCCTGGAGTTTATGTGTTTAACTTGTGGGGTTTGGTTGCTTCCTTGCCACAGAATCAGAAAGTAAGTAAAGACATCCAAGTAAAATTATAATTAAATCTCACTGGTTAAGTTTTTATCAAACTATTAGATCTTCTTTGTGCAAAAAAAAAAAAAAAAAATCCACATTCCTTCCTAAATGTATATCTGTAAATGCCCTGCATTAAAAAAGATTTTCAAAGCAGTAGCTAACATTATGCCTTAAGGAACTAGAATAAGAAGACCAAAGCTTAAAAAAGGTAGGAAATAATAAAGATTAGAGCAGAGATCAGTGAAATAGAGAACAGAAAAACAATAGAGAAAGTCAATGAATCCAAAAATAAGTTACTTGAAAAGATAAATTTTTTCTTGGCTAGCTAAGAGAAAAAAAGAGAGAAGACACAAATTACTAAAATCAGGAATAAAAGAGGGAACATTACTACCAAACTTATAGTAATAAAATAGATTATAAGGAAAGCTATTAACAGCTGTATGCCAACAAATCAGATAACTTAGATGAAATAGACCAATTCCTAAAAAGACACAAACTACCAAAACTGACTCAAGAAAAAAAAAAAATTAAAAATCTGAATAGGCCTATAATAAATAAAGAGATAAAATTAGTAATTTTTAAAATTTCCTACCAATAAAAAACCAAGTTCAGATGACTACTGGTGAAGTCTACCAAATGTTTGAAGGAAAATTAATACTCATTCTTTGCAAACTCTTCCAAAACACAGGAGAGGTAGGAACACTTTTTAATTCATTTTTTGAGGCCAGAGTTATTTTGATACCAAAACTAGAAAAATATATCACAAGGAAAAAAAAAACTATAGACCAAAATCATGTATGAATATAGATGCAAAAAAATCTTCAACAAAATACTAACAAACTTAATCCAGCAACATATAAAAAGATTATGTACTGGGCCAAATGGGATTTATCCAAGAAATTCAAAGGTGGTGTCACCTTTGATGAATATCAATCAATGTAATACAGTATATATAGAATAAATGACAAAAACCACCTGATAATTTCAACAGATGCAGAAAAGGCATTTGGTAAAATCCAACATCCTTTCTTGATCAAAACACTCAACAAACCAGGAATAGAAGGGAACTTGCTTAATCATCCACATCTAATATCATACACGATGGTGAAAGACTGAATACTTTCTCTTAAATCAAGAATAAGAAAGAAAAGCATGTTCACTGTTTGACTTCTATTTAACATCTTACTGGAGATGGACAATTAGGCAGGAAAAAGAAGTAAAAGTGCTCACTTGAGCAGCACATATACTAAAATTGGAACAACACAGGATTAGCATGGCCCCCACACAAAGATGACACACAAATTCATGAAACATTTAAAAAGAAAAAAGAAAGAAATGAGGAAGTATGAATCTTCTAACTTTGTTGTTCTTTTGCAAGATTGCATCTCATTGAAAAAGAAGCGGCAAAAATATATTTGCAGATAACATGATATTGTACATAGAATATCCTAAGGAATCCACTAAAAAAGTAGTAGAAGTAATAAAAGAGTACAGGAAGGTTGCAGGATATAAGATCAATATAAAAAATCAATCCCTATTCCTATAGACTAGTTCTGAAAATAAAATTAAGAAAACAATTCCATTTACAATAGCATCAAAAAGAATAAATCACCTAGGTATAAGATTAGTAAAAGAAGTATAAGACTTATACACTGAAAACTATAAAACACCACTGAAAGTAATTAACAACCTTAAAAAATGATAAGATATCCTATGTTCATGGATCAAAAGACTTAATATTGTCAAGATGGTAATACTCCACAACTTGATTTGTAGATGCAGTATAATCCCTATCAAAATCCCAGTGGCTTTTGAAGAAATTGCAACTGATTGTAAAATTCATACAGAATTGCAAAGAACCCAGAATAACAAAACAGTCTTGCAAAAGAACAACAAAGTTAGAAGATTCATACTTCCTCATATCAAAACTTATACAAAGCTACAGTAATTAAGATAATGTGGCACTGGCTTACAGATGGACATATAGAATGGTGGAAAAGTTGAGAGTCCAAAAATAAATAAATAAAGTCCAAAAATAAAGCCTTGGTACAAATGTACCAAGACATAATAGGGAGAGGATAATGTTTTTGATAAATGGTGCTGGGACAACCAGATATCCACATACAGAGAATGGAATTTATTTACCAGGATATATCTCCCATACCAGACAACAACACAAAAGTTATATGATTATCTCACAGCATATACAAAAAGTTAATTCAAAATAAATTACAAACCTAAATGAAAGAGCTAAAACTAGAAAACTCATAGGAGAAAACATAAGAGTAAATATTTTTGACCTTTAGGTAAGCAGTGGTTTCTTAGATTAAAAAAAAAAAAAAGTAGAAGTAAAAAAAGAAAAAAAGAATGCACTACATCATACTTTGTGCACAAATCATCAAGAAAGTGAACAGGTTTCCACAGAAGGGGAAAAAATTTTGTAAATCACATATCTGACAAGAAATTTGTATCCAGAATATATAAAAAACACAACCCAATAACAAAAAAGGGGCAACTAATCTAAATTCAAAGTGGGCTAAGCATTTGAATAGTCATTTATCAAAGAAGATAAACAAAATAACCAGCAGGCATAAAAACCAAGAAGATGCTCAACATCATTAACCATTAGGGAAATGTACATCTAAACCCAATGAGATATTACTTCACACCCATTACTATGGCTTTAACTAAAAAGGCAGTTGTTGACAAGCGCTGAGGAGGATGTGGACACACCATAACCCACACGTGGCTGGTGGAGATGTCAAGTGGTATGCCTGCTTTGGAAAACTGACTGGCTGTTCCTCAAAATGTTGAGCATACAGTTATCAAGCAACCTAGCAATTCAACTCTCAGGCATACACCAAGAGAAATGAAAACATACAACCACACCAAAAGTGGTACCTGAATATTCACAGAAGCATGAGTCATAATAGCCAAAAGGTAGAAACAACCCAAATGTCCATCAACTAATGGATGAAAAATAAAATGTAGTGAATCTATACAACAGAATATTACTCACCAGTGAAAAGGAGCCAAGTACTGATAACATGCTACAACAGAGGAAGTCCAGAAAACATTATGCTAAATGAAAGAAACCCATCACAAAAGATCACATAGATATGGTTCGATTTATATTAAGTGTTTAGAATAGGAAACTATATAGAGACGGAAGGTAGGTTAGTGGTTGATTAGGGCTGGGGGAAGGGGGGTTGAGAGTTGGGGGTGAATGCTAACGAGTATGAGCTATCTTTTAAGAGACACTAAAATGTTCGAAAATTAGATGTGGTGATGGTTGAAGCACTTGGGTGGCTCAGTTGGTTGAGTTGCCAAATCTTGATTTTGGCTCAGGTCATGATCTCAGTGTTCTAGGATGGAGTTCCATGCCTTGGAATCCAGTTGGGATTCCCTCTCTCCCTCTGCCTGTCCCCTCATTTGCTCATTCTCTCTAAAATAAATAAATAAATCTTCTTTTCTTTTCTTTTTTTTTTTTAAGATACGATGATGGTTTCACATACCCATAAATATACTAAACAACACTGAATTCATGCTTTGAATGGGTCAATCGTATAGTATTTGACTAATATCCACTTAATAAAGCTGTTTTTAAAAAATTCCCAATTAGTCTGGCTGGCTATCCTTTTGACAGGATACCTTATTCCTAGTCCCTTGGTCATGGCACTAGCCTGCCTCTTCCCGTCAACCTTGACATGCCCTAGAGAGGAAGCCAGTTGGGTCTTGACCACCTAAAACCACCCCCAAATTAGTTGGATACAACCAGCATGAACTGCCAATGAGAGGCCAGCTCCAGGGGAAAGCTCCCTTTGTTCAAATCCCTGCTCTCTGCTTCTTAACCCTTGACATGTATTAGCTTATTTGCACCTCATGCTTCTAATTAATCATGAAAAATTGGAGTAATTATAATACCCTGTAGCACTTGGGGATGATGAAAGCACTGGCATTCAGCTCATTAATAGGTACACTCAAGGAGGTCAGTTTTTATTACTGGGAGAAACCTTCACGTGACCCCTGTGGGACAGGTTCGGGCCCAGATTTGGGTGATTTCTCATTTTATTTCACATGGAGATGACAGCAGTTGCCTTTGCTGGCCTCCCTGACCTAGCAGAAGGCACTAGCTCTCTCTGCTATGCCAGGGTTTGGCCACGCACATTTGGACATGGGAGGTAGTTTAGCACATATCCATAGTTAAATGGAATTATGTATTTTTAATTAGAATATTCTCTGCATCAAGTGTGCACTAAGGGGACTCATTACCTCGTTCTTAGAAAAATAATTACACATAAAATAGGAGTATAAAGAAGTGCATTTAAAAGGTAGTATATATTTAAAACATCAGGAAAAAAGAGTGTATTTACAATTCCAGTTGTAAATCTCTCATTTATTTGTAATCTGACTAATTTTTTATTCAACTCAGGTTAATTTTCATGTTCGTATAAGTCATCTCTGATCATCATTCTGTATTTATTCTCATCCCTCTCCTTTGCAATTCATAATATTTAGATGCCTGATAAACGGGAAAATTCAATGCAGCATACTCTACAATAAAAAATTTTCATCATGTTTATCAATGAGAATTTGAGAATCCAGGTAGTAATGTAGAACAGAAATCTTAGATGTTGGTGACTGAGTGTTTATAATCAGGCAGTCTGGCTGATTTTAACCTGTGCCAGTTTCATGAGAAACTGGCACATCAGTAGTTTTTTAGACATTTTTCCTGAGGCTCCTCATGACATTTTATTTTCAAGATTTTATTTTTAAGAAATCTCCACACCCGATGTGGGGCTCAAACTCATGACCCTGAGACCAGGAGTGGCATTCTCTACCGGCTACCATGACATTTTAATATCACTGATAATACAGTTGACCCTTGAACACATGAGGGTTAGGAACACCAACCCCCAAACAGTTGAAAATCTGCATATAACTTTTGATTCCCCCAAAACTTACTCCTAATAGCCTGCTTTTGACTAGAAGCCTTATGGATAACATGAACGGTATATTAACACATAGTTTATATGTTACGTGTATTATATATTGCATTCTTACAATGAAGTAGGTTAGAGAAAAGAAAATGTCATTAAGAAAGCCATAGAGAAGAGAAAATACATTTACGGTACTGTATTTATTGAAAAAATCCACGTATAAGTGGACCTGCACAGTTCAAACCCCTGTTGTTCGAGGGTCAACTCTACCATATATCAGTTTCAGCTTTTTTACTTCCAACAAAACAATCTCCTCCCCTTTGGGGGCAATATTGCACCCACTGAGAATTGATGGCCTTATTCTAATATTCAGATTTCATATGGTAAGAAAAAGTAGGATGAGCTCATTGTTATTTTGGTAGCAGAAATACATTCAAAACACTTTAGAATATTGCCAAGTTAATTCAGGGTGGGTCACAGATCAGCAACAACACCATCACTGGTAGTTGGTTAGAAATGCAGACTCTCAGCCCCACCGCAGACCTACTCCATCAGCATCTGCATTTATTTAATTAATTTATTTTTTTCTCACCATAGCACATACCCTTCCCAATGTCCGTCACCCAGCCATTCCATTCCTCCCACGTCCTCCCCACCCTCCGGCAACCCTCAGTTTGTTTCCTGAGATTAAGAGTCTCTTATGGTTTCTCTCCCTCTTAGGATATAAAATCAATGTACAGAAATCAGTTGCATTTCTATACACCAACAACAAGACAGAAGAAAGAGAAATTAAGAAGTCTATCCCATTTACAATTGCACCCCAAACCATAAGATACCCAGGAATAAATCTAAAAAGAGTCAAGAATCTATACTCAGAAAACTAGAATACTCATGAAAGAAATTGAGGAAGACACAAAGAAACGGAAAAACGTTCCACCCTCATGGATTAGAAGAACAAATATTATGAAAATGTCTATGCTACCTACAGCAATCTACACATTTAATGCAATCCCTGTCAAAATATCAAAATATCAACTTTTTCGAAGAAATGGAACACATGAAAAAGACCATCTACATTTTTAACACGATCCTCTGTTAATTCAGATGCCCGTTAGCCTGAGAAGCATTGGTTTACAGGACAGGCCTCTACTCAGGTGGGAAACATTAAGATAATGTGTAAATGGAAAAAAAGATGCATAAGCCCTAAAGCCAGTTTTTAAGTAACCCACGCCTTCCTTCCAAGTTCTGACTCACACACCAAGTTTCTTTGGTCATCAGTATCATTTTTTAAATGTACAACTGGGTGTGTTTTGTTTGTTTGAGAAACGATCATTTTACTTACTACTAAGCAAGGGAAAAATCCCCAAGAGGACTCATCTTGCTAC